AATTTTCCCATCAACTGGTCACAACGCACAACACAGCTATATGCTGATTCATAAAAGACCCGTTTACTCTGATGTAAACAAGCATGGGAGAAGCGCATGGTGGAACGCGTGAAGGAGACGCACTGAATGAAAGTGCACATTCACTCTCTGACAGCAGATGGCGCTAAACAGCAGAAATGCAGCCGTTACCCCAAACCCCGGAAACAAAGCAGCTGCGCTACTTTCCGAAACATATTTAAATGATTTAAATAGCCATTCAGATTTTTGTATTCGCTACAGTGTTCTTCACAGCAACTTAATAGGCTATTTATTTTCAAAATTTTTGTACATTTTAATCTGGACTACAACATGCCCTAGATACTGTTTGAAAAGGTTTTGATTCTTTGTTGGGTCACACTTTACATTAAGGCTCCATTAGTTAACATTAGTTATTTCATTAGTTAAACTGCCAATGAAATATTCTTCTAAACATTCATTCATCTTAATTTCAATATTTAATAACACGCTGTTAAAATCAAAAGTTGCTACTGTGTTATTTAATGAACCCGAGCTAACATGAACTAACAGTTGTTTTTTTAACAAAGATTAATAACTTCTGTAGCAAATGTAGCTATTGCTCATTGTTAATGTTGATGCTGTTGATGCATAAAGTTAACTTATGAGATTGCACTGTAAATGGTATTTATAATTCTTTAGCACTTTAATCTGTGTGAAATGTTTTAATTGATTTTTTGTGTATTGCTTTATTGTATTTAAATGTTCAGTTCTTTTTGTTATAAGAAAAAAGTTATAAAACCTGTAAAACTTTGAAATTTTTTTTGCAACTACATTTCAATATCGTGATAATGCCGTATACCGTGATAAAAGCATTCGCAATTAATCGCAACATGAAAATTTGATACCGTCACATGCCTACACACAACTCAAAGTGATATTTTACTGTAGTGCTATCAACATGGAACTTTGTACATGTGAAAAAAAATAATAAACACTGTCAGTCATTAGGAATCTAATATTCTTTTTGTCAGCCAATCAGAATACTTTTCTGTTTCTTTCCTTCACAGGTGTAATCTTGTACATTCTGTTAGTGGGCTATCCTCCGTTTTGGGATGAAGATCAACACAAGTTATACCAGCAGATCAAGGCTGGAGCTTATGATGTAAGTACAGTTGTCCTCTGATGGAGCCACTCTCTCGAACTGTCTCTGTCTGCGGGAGTTCAGTCCAGCTACTCTAAAACCTCCTTCATCTGACTGGTCTTTGAATGCACCATCAAGTCTTTCAACTGAGGCATTCACTAGGAGTGTAAAAATTCTTTGCTCTCTACATTTCCTCTGGCCACATTTCTGTCAAATTTGCATAGATTTTTGAAGCAACGTTTTAATTTAAAATCATATTTTTGGGTGTTTCTAATTAGTCTAGTCTGTGAACTCATCAAGTTCACGTTTCATAAATGAGTCTAGTGAGGCTTGTTTAATTTTAGACCGCACATCACAAGGCCTCCACATCCTTTCAGAAAATCACTGGAATTTCCCAGCAGGATACCATTAACATTTCCTATTAATGTTTGTGAAATCTCTTGGAATAAAATTCAAGGCAGAGCTGTTTAAAAAATGTTTAAACTGATGGCAATAATAGGGCAAGAGGGGTGGAAGACGCAAATAAAATAAGAATAAAGTAAAAAATAAAATAAAATAAAAAATAATGTAATCAAATGTTGGAAAAATAAATCAATGAGCTGGAATTTTATATGATTTTGTAAATTATTATTTTATATTTTTCAGTCAGACTTCAGTGAATGATCATATTTCCATATTTATTTTATTTAATAAAATGAAATAAAATAAATAAGATTCCAGCTTATTGCTCAATTGTTCCTGCATGATTTGATTACAACAGATGTCTCTGCAACACACACTGTGATCCAACTGTTCTGTTTAATTTCTGATTGGGTGCATTTTAGAGCTACTGGTACTGTTATTGATTATGTCAGGCCCTCCCTGACGCATTGCAGAGAGATGAGCATTGCTTAGAAACAACTGCCTCTTGTCCCAGAGTGTATGTGCTTGTTTGCTTGCGTATTTTTGAAATGTCCATCTCTTGCATCACAGTCTCACACCCTCAGACGTATGTGGCAGGACATGGAGTGAGTGACTGCCCCAGAGAGACGCTCATTCCATTAAAATTTATGTGACAAATAAAAGGGAAGAGATGATATACCGGTAACTGTGACCTTATTGTGAAAATGGAGTGCATGCAGGTTACACTTTTAGATGGTTTTGGTAGTCACAGGGTTGGGCAGGCCAGGTCAGTTCACTTCAGAGATGGAAAATATGACAAATCCTTTATCACAATGTAGTTAAATTTGCTGAAAATTCAACCACAAAATGGTTCATAGGTCAAGGACCCTTCTGTGGATGGAGTGTCATAACAGGGACCACTCAAAACGTGTATAGTTCCATATTAATGTATTTTCATACTTTCTTATGACGCAAAGGCATTAAAATGATCAGAGTCATATAGTTGGACATTGTATTTTTTATTATACTTAATATGCTTTAATTTGGGAAGGAAACTGTTAACTGAACAAGGAACTGTTGAAGATCCCTGGTTTAGAGATATTAAATATAATGTGCCGGTAAAGAGTTAAGATCAGGAATAATGTTTTTTTTTTTTAATCTAATTTGATTATTTTCTCTTAGTATTTGGAAATGAAAGAAAAAAGAAATATGATGATTGATGAATCATAAAGAATAAGCAGTGCAAAAACGATAAATACACTACCATTCAAATGTTTGGGGTCAGTACAATTTTATTTTTTATGTTTTTGAAAGAAGTCTCTAATGCTCACCACGGCTGATCAAAAATACAGTAAAAACAGTAATATTATGAGAATTTTAAATAGCTGCTTTCCATTTTAATACATTTAAAATTGTATTTATTCCTGTTATGGCGAAGCTGAATTTTTTGCAGCCATTATATTACAGTCGTCAATGTCAAATGTGCTATAAACAGTTGTTCTGCTTAATATTTTGTAAAAAGCTGTAACATCTTTTCAAATTTCTTTGATTAATAGAAAGTTCAAAAGACATACATTTATTTGAAATAGAAGTCTTTTGCAACATTTGTAAATGTTTTAACTGTCACTTAGGGATGTAAAATTGATTAATCGCAATTAATCGCTTCCAAAATAAAAGTCTGTGTGTACATTGTGTGTGTACTAATTACTAAGTACTAAGTATGAATTACTTAATTACTAATTTCTAATTGGATGATTCCTTCTTGTTGACTTTTTTCTTTCTTTTTTTTTTATATGTAAATAGTAAAAAGCAGTCTCTGCCCAACAGCAGTGGTAATATATCTACCATAGCATAAATGTTATTCCAAATCTCGACAGGCTGACACATTGCTATTGACGCACAATATATACTTCAACTTGGGAAACCTCGCAGTGAACTTGCTTCTTTGTTTTGTACTCTAGTAACCTTCCGTCGTGTGACCACAATCAATGAGGTGTAGAGTTGTGCTTCATCATCCGTTACCAGCGTCTGTCACTGCGCCTTCTGGCCATGTGTTCACGTTTGGATGCGCCATCCGCAATCCTGAGTGGCCGTCTTTGCTGAAGCAGCGCACAGCGGTGCAGAAACGCCCCACCCATGACATGTATTAACAGTGCCCTGAGCCAAAAGCGCAGCTGAATCAGTGTGTGTAAGGACTTACGAGCACCTGTGGTGTTTCTAAGTACAATCCACACGCTCGTTTTAGCTGATGCAACACAGCTTGATGCGCAAAACAAATTATACTTCCTGGAACCTGCCCAAGGTTTTCATGAAACAGTCAAAGGATTTGTAATGGCCACATTAAGATCTTCTGGTACGAAAGAGGAGGTGTGACACATTTAACACAGATACAGACACAGCTTTTTATTGGCTAATTACAACTGCAATTTTCTCTAGTTATGGGCTGCAATGAAGCCATGAGGTGTGAAATGCGCAAGCAACATGTTTCAAGCACCAGCCGTGCCGAATAGGCCGACAATAGGAGGACTGACTGCCGTGACTCATTGGATCCTGTACGCTGCCTTGTGATACGTTTAATTTCATTAGGCCCCGGTGCAGACCGCTCTGTATGTGTGTCAGTACATCTTGTGGTGTGAAAAGCTCTCTAGGCTTGCTCCTGCATTTAGATTGCATATCTAACGCTCGCTCATGATTCTTGCCCACACAGTTTCCTTCTCCGGAGTGGGACACGGTCACCCCCGAGGCCAAGAACCTCATCAACCAAATGCTGACCATCAACCCAGCTAAGAGAATCACCGCAGAGCAAGCCCTCAAGCACCCATGGGTCTGCGTAAGTTATCTCTGCCGAGTTATCTCTACATTTTCCACAAGCTCCAAGCAAGAAAAATCTACTGGGGGAATCTGAGCTCTTTTAGAGTTTAATATGAAATGCAGCTTTCACATTCACATATTTTGTGCTCTCAGAATAGGTAATAGCTAAGGAACAGTGCATTCAGTATGAAAATTCTTATTTATTTACACATCTTGTTTCAAACTTGTATGACTTTGGAGAACTTTTGAGTAAAGTGCTGGTTGCTCCTTACGTCACAACGTCAATGAATCGGGACTGGAGCTTTCAAGCTTCAAAAATAGTGCAGAAGCACTGGGGCTGCACGATTAATCACATTTTATGCATGATCATTTCTGCTTTTCTTGATTAATTAAGCATAATCATCTGCGAGATTTGCCCAATAGTTATTTATCCTAAAAACATTTTTTTTTTCATTTGACATTTCCATTAACTTGCATTGATAACTGGACTCCAGGGGTTGCCAGATTTCAAGAGTTTAAATCCCCCACTCGGGGTGAAATGTAAAACATAATTTCTCAAATGAGAACAATTGTCATTAATTATCACAATGTCTGATCAAAGTAATCATGATTATCAGTTTAACTATTATTGTGCAGCCCTAAAAAACACCATAAATATGGTCCATACAACTTATGTTCTGTTTTCTGAGTCTTAACAAATTAGCAAAGTCTGATTTATAAATAAATCATACTCTTGAATCAAATCTTTTGAATGCACGTGTTGAATGATTTGTTCATGAATCTTGTTCTTGAGAACGCAATGGATAGATTATGAATGAATAACATAAATACCTGTGTCAGCTTGCATAAGACTATTGTATGACTTGGAAGAAAACTTGGAATAACTTGTATAGACTACTTTTATGGTATTATTGCATCCTTCTTGAAAAACGGCAAACTCACAATTCATTTAATGGTGACAATTATATTAATACATTTGTTAAGTGTTATTTAGTGTTCCATACAAGAATGAAAGTCATACAGGACCAGTTGAGGGTGGATAAATAATGAAAGACTGTTCATTTTTGGATGAACTATCCCTTTAATTGGTTCAAATACTTAAATAATGCTGATGTGCAATATTTTTCTCTGTCTTGCATTTGCTCATTTCAGCAACGGTCCACAGTGGCATCCATGATGCATCGCCAAGAGACCGTGGAGTGCTTGCGCAAGTTCAACGCTCGCAGAAAACTCAAGGTACAGCATAGGTTTGAAGGACCCTTAGACTAACTCCAATCTTCTTCCCTTGGGTAATTAGTGCTGAAAGTCCTGTTGCCATGGACTAAACACTCCATTTTTCTCTGTCTTTGTTCAGGGAGCCATTCTCACTACTATGCTGGTTTCTAGAAACTTCTCAGGTGAGTTCCCTCATTCTCCTGGGATCAGGTAGGAAAGTGCAAAGTCATGGATGAACTTTGCCCACCTCTTGAAGTCTTACTCCAGTTTTCACTATAAAAAAAGATCTCGAACGGCTGGCTTGGTAATTAAATGGAAGGAGAATTCACTTGGGATCTAGAGCTTTGGATTACAGGAGTAGAAAGTTTTGGATTTTTTGAGCTAAGGCAGTAAAGGAATATCCGTAACTTTCTTTTCAGTTTAATATCAGTTTACTTCCTGAACGGAAGATGTTTACGGTTTGTGCAGGTGATATAGCAGGTTTGAAAGCTTTAGCTTTTCGTTTTTATTCTAGACCTTGTTTCCTTATAATAAACAAAGGTAATTTGTTCAGTAGAGGGTTTGAACACAGTTCCATAACTTCTCCCAACTCAACGCCTCTCTGTCCAATAGTGGGCCGGCAGCATACCAGCCCTGCTGCTCCCACCACAAGCACTGCCGCCCTTGCACAGGAAGGTATGTGAGAGTGCATTTCCTCACCTCGCCACCAGGGGGACCAGCGAGCCCCCTCCACAATGCCTCCAAACCCCCGCCCTCCCTCTGCTCTACCCAACCAGCATGCAGCCAATAAGAAGCCTGCCTCTCTTGCCATCACTTGCATAAATTATTTGGTCTTCACTCTCATGAACGACGTCTGCTATGTAGTCTTGGAGAAGTTCTCACTTTTAAAAGGATAGTGGCCTGCTGAATTTTCATCTCTCACATACACGTCATGCATTTGAGCAAAGTGTGTAAGAGTATATGGGATAGCATGTCATTTTTTTCAGCCATGTTTTTATATTGCTTTGCTTTTACATGACCATGTAACTTTAACAATCATCTAGCTAGCTTTTAACCCTATAGTTGTAAGAAGTATTAGAGCAGGTTCAGTCCTCTAAAATGGGTCGAATCAATGAAAGAATTGTTAATGCTACAGGACAGATATGGGTCATTCTCAAAAATGTTGAATTTCATATTATATTACGTTTTTTTAAATAATGCCTCTCAACTAACACAACTCACATATTATTTAAATAATGTATGTAATCCAATGTAAATTATACTTGTGAAATATTTAATTTAATTCAAAAGTAAAATTAACTGCTCAATTTGGTGGCCAAATATCCATTTGCAAATTTCATAGAAGTGGTGTACTAGGCATCTGGCAAATTCATCTCTTTTAAGAAAAATACTCAAAAGTGAAACTATTTTCCAGTATTTAATAAAGTTTTCAGTAACATAGAATGATTTGAGTGGGATTTCTTAATTATTTGAAATCTTTTTCTTGACTGATCAGTGTTTGTTACCATGTTTTGAGAATGACTCTTATAGGGACATTTGAAGTATTATAGCTTTTGTTCAGCTTTCAAATGGTCTATTCATTTATCCGTCGGCATAGATCGGCTCTTTTTATATGCGTGAACAAACAATGTCTCGTTTCATCTCGCAACTGTCCCCGGTTCAATTTAAACACAGCGGCTCTAGGCAAAACAATCCAATCAATAGCGCAGCACTGCATTCATGTTAACGATCGCCGCCATGAGACCCACCATCGGCCGGCATGCATTATTGTCTGCATGGAGTAAAAAATGCAATTGTTGCTGCTCCTTCTTTGATTAGACTTTCTCTTTTTTTCTCTCTCTCTCACTCTCTCGCGCTCTGTCCCTCTCGGTTGAATTGCTTCAGCCCTTTTTGGCTCCCTCCTTCCCTGCTGATCAACTTACTGGTGTTTTGTGCTATTGGGTTAAATAGCATTTAAGTGAAGTCTGCTTTAGCTGCAGATATAGGACTCCGGTCACGCGTCTGTGCTCTCATGTCTGTTTGGAGGGGATGGAGGTTTTTAGATCGGTGTCCTGTGTCATCAACTAAAGCAGACCCTTGCAGCCTAGCCAAGCCACCATTGCCCTACCACTCTCCTTTCAACTCTTCCTTCTCCCGTCGCCAAGGCGCAGGGGCTTAACCACACGGACAGGCAGGAGCGGGGTTGGCTTGCTGCCAGTCGTCAGACCCCATGTAGCCGGCGCAAGGGTCCGCTGAGCGCCAGGTGGTCTGCGGGGAAGGAGGCCCTCTGGAGGGCAGATGGACAACACTGTTGACAGTGTCTGAGTCAGGAGAAAGTGGAGAGGAGATCTCTGGTTCCAGTTGTGTTATCTGATCAAATTGAATTGTCTCACTCTTTCCGACGTGCGAGACATCTGTCTGTCAGTTTCAGTAAATGTCAGCCAGCTGCCATTTTCAACAAGCTGTGTCTGAGCAGCTGTCAGCGTTGCAAGAATACTTCGTATGTACGTAATGGTCAAAGGAGAACAATTAAGAAAAATTGCAGCATCTGTTCAGATCCTCCAGGATTATGGAAACCTAACAAGAGCCCTTCGCTGTATTATTGAACCTGTGAAAATGTACTGTTTCAGTTGTTGTGGTTGTTAGTTATAGGTTAGAGTCTTCTCTTACTATTTCTGCAGTATGTATACTATACATGATTCAGGAGCACTAAAATACCTGTCCATTAGCATTCCTATTAAAAAAGTACGAAACCTTGATGCTGCTGGGAAAACGCACTCTTGACTCACTGTTTGAACAAAATTTTGAGGTTCTGATATAAAGTTGAACTAAAAATTCAAATATTTCTTGATTTTAGTTCTATGGACTGTATTTGTGACCTCAACTACCACTGAAAATCCCATTGGAAGGGCATTACTGTAGACATTTTTATTCTTTTTACTAACTGAAGGACAAGTCATAGAGTTTAAAGTTGTATTTAACCTGGAATGTTCCTTTAATGTTCTTTTGAGCCGTCCAATCAATGCTCTCCATCAGTTCTTGGCTTCAACTAGTACTGTAAGTGTTTATAACTCTTTATATTCTGCTGTTGTTAAAGCCAGTCCTCCAGTTGATGTAAGATGTTAACCAATAACCAGTAATGAAATTTCATCAATGTTTCTTCATTCTTTGTTTAAGAGCTTTTCATTGTATGACCAAGATAAGATTTACTGTCCAATAGGTTATGAAGATAAGGCATGTTATTATGTCGGCTGTGTTGCCTGTAAATCTCTAATATATCATTTGTTGCTTGCACACGTCTGATTTAAAGGTGTATTGAATCTTTTAATGGCTGTCGTAATGGATTTTACTAGTTCAATATGCTGTCTCAAAGACCTTTTCACCTTCTGAAGCATTATTTAATAGGGGTGTGAATATTTGATCCGACTTTGATTCAGCTATTATTCTTTACTTATTCATTCAGCACATCATAACATTTGAAATTTGAAAATCAAGATTTAATTATTTTGGTATGATTATTTGAAGAAAAAACATGATAAAGTGTTTAGATTGCTGATTTGGATTTAGTGGATATTTATAACGGAAAATAGCTCAAGAATTGTGCACTTAACGCGTTATGCAGTTATTAAATTCTGTAATCATTGCATTGAAATTTGATTTATCTGTTCACCCCTGTTATTTAAACTGCAAAAGGATGCCACATGATCTTTTTGAATATTTTTGCAAAATATTATTGTCTAATCTTTGTTTGAAAGTGATTTCTTCCTCCCTCTATAATTTATTTCCACTCAGCATCAGTATGACTGCAGTGTCCTGGGGTCCCAAATCCATCTGATTATTGCGCTGTATAACAGAAGACTGCTGACTAAGCTTTCCCAATCACAGTCTGTGAATCCCATGAGACATAGTTAGATATGTGAGAGACAGTGGAATGGTAATGAGTTGAGGTCTAGCTTTATGACATCAGTGCATTGCATTATGGGACTCGTGGCACTGCATGGCTGACCGTATGGTGAATTGCATCCACCACCAGCACCTCTCACCTCATGATTAGTGAAGCATGAAAGCAGGCCTGCAATGCAAACAATGCCTGCTATCGTCCAGCTTGTCCTCTCTGCTACTAAATGTTTTTTGTTTTCTTCTTAACCTTGCCATCTTTTCTTCCCATTTGTTTATGGAAGGTAAGGCGCTAAACAGGAATATCGAATGTGAAACCTGAGTTTTTAGTTTTTTTCTGTTATTGAGGTTTTACAGGCCTTACACAAGTCATTTGATTGTTCTCTGAGGGATTCTGAAGTGTATCGGGGGCCATTTCCCTTACACTGTCTCAAGACCTCTCCAACATGCCCTCTGGGAAATAACAGTTAAAGCAGTTAAAGGAAAAATCAATTGCATACATTAGGCATGATTTTCCCTCATTACACCTGCAGCTGCAAATGGAGAATAAATGTATTCTCTGTATCTGCTCTCTGATTGGTGAAAAATCAAATAAAATGGGCAATTTATTCCAAGTTTGTGCAATTGGTTAATTTTAAAGGGGTTATATCATGCATTTTTATATTCTTCCGCACTGGGGTTATCTTGTGTTAGTAAAATATTAGTAATGTTTTTTTCCCTTTTTTGCCACAAAAACTGTCATAATTTGGGTAATATCTATAATTTCATAATTTTCCACACTTGCTCTGAGCATTAAAATTAAGCAGGAATAGTTTTTTTTGTGTGCTGCTGTTACTTTAAGAAACACCCCCTCAAATGTGAATACTTATTGATTTTATATGCATTTATGAATACTTTTTTCATAAATTTTCAAAATATATTTTTTATGTTTTTGAAAGAAGTCTTTTATTCTCACCAAGGCTGTATTTATTTGATAAAATTTATAGTAAAAACATTAATATTGTGAAATATCATAATTTAAAATAACTTTTATATTTTATTTAAAACATTTTACATGTAATTTATTCCTATGATGGTAAAGCTGAACTTTCAAGATGATCCTTCAGAAATCATCCTAATAAGCTGATTTGGTGAGAAGAAGAAACATTTCTCATTATTATCAATGTTAAAAACCAGAGCAGCATTTACTTGAAATAGAAACAGAAATAAAAATATTTTTTTAAAGGTCACTTTTTGTGACTTTTGCCACTTTTGACATCTGCAGCTTCTTGTTTCTACTCGTTTGTTTCTTGAGTTTGAAATTACAATACATTTTTATACAGTACAGTATTTCAATGATCTCTCTTAAAGATCAAGGAAAATTTGATTCAAGATATGACCCCTTTAAAGTTTTTTTTTATTTGCAGTAAGTTATTTATTTATAAGATACTATTACCTTCATCTCACAAAGCTTTATATGTCTTTGGATTAAACTGATATATATAGATCTGTGAGAAATGTCTCCTGTGGTGAAAAATGATGCTAGTCGGCATTACCTCCCAAACCCTGTATGCTAATGAATGACGGAATGCAAGCCAGCAGTTTGTTAATTGTTTTATATGGGGATTTATTTGAAATATGTGCAGATGTGAGCATTCTGTCAGTTTTGTCACTCACGCTGTTTGTAGTAATTTAGTCTTTCTCTGTTCCCTACAGCATGCAAAAGTTTACTCAACAAAAAGGCAGATGGAGTCAAGGTAAGCCCACAGATGTTCCTTATATACCTACTTTCTCCTGGAGATTGAGATGTTTTAATCTTTCCAGCAGCCTTTTGAGGTTCCCATCTCTACCAGAGCTTTCCATTAATGGGTTTTAAACTAAACGCCACTTTTTAATAAAACCATATTGCTGCATTAAGGCAGTACTTTGTGCTTTGCTACAGAAGTCTTGCGCTCTGAAGTTATTTAGTAGTAGTACAACCCATGTGTTATCAGACTGTATTATAATAATTTTGACACAGTATTCCATGAAATGTCCATTAGTAATCGTCGCTTTCTCTCTGAATGATGGATAATCTTCCTGGCGTATGCTATTCATCTGTTGTGTGATTTCTAACTACCATGACTGACATAGGAGGATCGGCTCCGATCATGTCCCTAGTAATGTCATCTCTCTGAAAAGGAAGTTGTATCTGTCCTCTCTATTTCAGCCTCAGACAAACAACACTAAAAACAGTGTAGTGAGCGCTGTAGTGAACGCCATGAAAGAAAGCAACACGACCGCTTCTACACCGATGGTACCTCATCTACATTTAACTCTTTTTGTAACCCATCTACTCATCTGACAGTATCCCATAGTACATGATCAAGTGTTTGCAATAATGTTTTTGAAACCGTTTTGCATGTACTAAAAATAGCTCAGACCTGTAGTTTGCTGTGCACTACTTGTTTTTCCCTTATGTGTTTTTTGGAGGGCTCGTCTCCTCTCGAAACACATCTGGTGTTTTATAAACGTGTCATTAGGAGTGATTTGTTCTTGCCCGTAAGCTGCTGGTTTATGTCCTTCCTCACACTTCTTGTCCTCTGATTTGTTCTTGTCCTCACTCTAGAATAGAATAAATATATGGATTTCGGCAAATAACATGGTAATTTGTGTCGGAGTGCATAAACCAGTCACCATAAAGATGCAGTATGCCACACAGAAAGCTGTCAGCCGTTTGGCTGTGTTGGAAACTAGCAGTGTCCCCTGGAGGTTTAAAAAAAGGAAAGTGGATTGACACTTCACATGGGCCTTGTTTGCTTGACTGCCCAAATAGCTGAGCAAAGAGCATCCTGGGACCTCCAAAACAATCCATTAAGAGCACAAGTTAACCCTTGACCCCTCCTGAGGCCTCAAAATGCCTCCACAGTGCTGATGGACAGCCAGCAACCACTGGGCTATCAGACAAAAAGGCAACTTTTTTGAGGGTTCAATTGGGTCACAACATTTGTGAGAATAAGTGGAAGTTAATCTGAGGAAAAGCATAGTGCATATAATCCAGAAATTGCTTGACTTCAAGGTGGATCTTTTCCTTTTATGATTCTCCATTCCTGTGGTTTCAGCAGAATTTCAGTTGAATTTGAGAAACTGCATCTTTAAATCATCATGACGCATGCCATTTATTATTTTTATAAGTGTACGTGTGTGGTCGGTTTGTTCTTCAAGCTCATCATGAACCTCAACCTTGTGTTCATTTCCTCATAAAGTAATTGTCTATTTAGATCATTATTTCTTTATTTGATCTCAGAATCCTCAATTTGTGTCTTAGCCAAGACAGTCACAGCAGCTTTAAAAGTGTGTGTGTTTGTTCCTGCAGGATGTTGCGTTTAACCAGATTGTTGTGGATGAGTCTTACTACTTTAATCATGATGTAAAATCTTGTAAAATTTTACAGGAGCCACAAACTACAGTTGTGCACAACCCTGTCGATGGACCCAAGGTACATTTTTCAAGAGCATTTGGAAGAGGGATGGAAAATCGATTCACAAATTGCACTTTTGCACTGTTTTTCTAAATGAATCTTGACTGATCAAATGAAATGGTCCTTATTGGATTTTAAAATGTAATTTTTGTTTTATTAAATCGCAAAAGATTTTTAAGCCTAATAATCAGTATTAGTGTTATTAACATACTATTATAGTTTATATTTTTATAGTTGTTGATTCATTTATGTTTTTGTCATTTTTATCATTTTAAATTCATTTTAAATTTCAGGTTATTTTTTTAAATATATTTTATCTGGTTTCAGTTTTCAGTTTATTTCAATTTCAGTACACTTATTTCAAGTAATAGAGTTTTTATGGTTTTGGTTTTAGTTCATAATAATAATCCTGCTAATAATAATTATTATAAAACTCGCTAAAAATTTGTGAGCCATCACTGTTGCAAAATATTAAAAATGAAGATATATCAATCATTATTTTGTAATTGTAAATCTCTTTGAATGAAAAACAAGTTGAATTGTGGGTAGTGGTGTTATTATTATTATTAATATTATAACTCAATAAATTAATGTAACATATTATGATAAATTAATGTTTAACTTAAGATGATCAAGAATCATTCTTAGAATCAAAAACGTGTTGAATCATGAGGGTCCTAATTCTGGAAGTATTTTAGAGACCATAACTTAATGCTGCTATTCATTCTTTCACGTCTCATGTTTTGTTTGTCTTGTACGTTTTTGTCTGTCTCTATTTCTGTCCCCAGGGCTCCACAGAGAGCTGTAACACCAATGAGGAAGAGGATATGAAAGGTAGGAAAGGTACACAGATCTTCTCTCCTCTTCTCTGCATGCCTCCAGCTCTGTGGCGTTGCAGCTCCCAGTGCTCGTGTCAGAAGAGTAATCCCTCTCCTGTCCGATCACAGTCCCGAAACACACCAAAAAGCCTTTGATTAAGCAAAATACATGTCACGTCAGTCAGTATCTGTTTGAAATATAAAAACGTGAGGCTGCAGTGACACCTGAGGCTTTGTGATTTGAAGACAGGGCCATGAACGCACAGGAGGGGAATTACGGTAGAGGGCATTGAGACTGGGTTGGATGGATTGTGATTTACATGTTTAACATGCATGATGGCACAACCCTTTGTGTTTTCAGCTAAATTGCTAGCTTAGAGATAGTGAAGGTGCACCAGAGAGATTTAGAGTTTACAGTATTCAACAAAGTAAATGAGGGTAAACTCTCAAAAAAATGAGTGTATTCACAAACATTCCTGTTTGGATGGGATTAGATTTCTTTGAATTTCAAAACCTTACCCGATGTCCTCAGGGAAAACTAGTCCCATCTGAATAGCATCTCTATGTCGGATCACTCACACCGTTTGTCATTGTCACACAAATGAGCCAAGTTCAAGTGAATTGATATATACATGCACACATCTGTCTTAAAGCCGTCGGTGTCTCAGTAGGTTTCCTTGTAGATTTTGTGCGTGTGTGTCCTGTGTTTTTTACCCCACTTATTTAGATGTTTGTGGATGTGCCGTGTCTTGTAAATTCATTAGCATGTTGTGAACCGGCGTGTTTTTCTTGAGGGACTCTCGCCGATACTGTTTTCTGTCACGAAAAAGGCCAGGCTCGAATTCATTTCCTCTCCTTATTCACTCCGGGCCTGGACGGACAATAGCGGCTTAAAGAGCCTTATCATTAGCTCCGTCACGTCTGAGGTTAGGTGATGAGGACAGGAAATTGGCGCGGAGCCTGGAGAAACAATCTCTGAGCGCGCTGTTGTCCAAACACAACAAACACGATTCAGCTTCACCACACCCATAGATACAGACCTGCGTCACACCATCTCTCATAACTCCACTGCAAAATCCAGGATCATCACCTGTAGTCCTGCTCCCATAAACACAGTGCTTCTTGTATCGAGAACAGCTCATCTAACAGCTCATCCCATCCAGCGTCTTCGTGCCCATTAAGCTATTTAGTCATGATGAAGTGCCAGCATTGGTGTGGTGTTTGTTAGTGTGTTTCGGCTGGTGAAGGACAAGAGAGATGTGTGTGTTTTTCCTCCTGGTGGCGTGTGGTTTTGGGGCTGTGCCAGCCGAGAGTGCGCAGGGAGCGAGCAGTGACAGTGCCGTGATGAGTCAGTGCAGTGCCGGGGAAGAGCTGCCCGCTCTGGTGGCTTCACCACAGGGCTCTCCTGCCAGTAAGTCAAGATCCTCTCGTACCCCCTGGGCACCTCCCTCCTCAAACCTTCAAGTCGAGACCTTTTTGTCCCCCCACAACTCCAGCCTTTCTGCCCTTCAGCTTACTATCATTAGGGTCACTTGCTTTCAGTGTAGAACAGTACTGTATGTCAAAGTTGTTGATCCCCTTTTCTTCTCACAAATGTATTCACCCCCTGATGCATGCTGCTCAACTATACTATTTCCAGGTCTATTGTGTTGTAAAATGGCCCTTTAGTAACTAGATTGAACTTTTAGATGTTCTGCTGCTGATTTTTCCTACATTCTCCTTCCCAACTTGTGACTGAAGTCTCAAACCTTCCCCTTTCAGAAGTTGTAATTAATATGCTTTTTTGCACATGCACACATTTTAATATCCCACATCAAAGCTACATACTTGTGACTTCATTTCTTGCTGGTTAACAATACATATAGTCTCTGATGTGTTGCTTACCCAGTCCTTCTGAGTATCTATTCTTTTATTTGTCCTATTGTCATTCTGTTGAATTATAATGCTTGCTTTCATTGTAATTAATTGTATTATATTTCTTTAACTGGGTTTTTAATATGACCAAAACCATTGACATACACTACCTTTCAAACGTTTGGGGTCAGTAAGATAATATAAATTTTTTTTTAATTAAATTGATCAAATGTGACAGTGAAGACTTGTACATTGTTACAAAGGATTTCAATTAAATGCTGTTCTTTTGAACTTTATATTCATCCATAAATCCTGAGAAAATATTACCACAAAAATATTAAGTTGCACAACTATTGTCAGCATGAAGAAATCCTTGTTGAGCATCAAATCAGCATATTAGAAGGATATTAGATTTATGAAGGATCATGTGACGCTGAAGACTGGAGTAATGATCAGTAATTGCCACTACAAGAATAAATAAAAAAATGTAGAATATTGCAAATAGAAAACTTTGCAATAGAGACTTATTAAAACCATTAAAAATGAACCCCCCCCCCATTTTTAATGGTACTCTTGAAATAATGGTTTTGGTGATTTTAAAAACCTAAATAAAATGTAGAGAACATATTGTTAGATATAACACAAATACAGCATATGCATAATACAAATTAATGTCAGCAAATGGGATGTGCATAAAATTGCTGAAAAGCACACTTATTTTTAACTTACAGTTGGAACTGACACAAATGAGGCTTTTGTTAATTGGCTGACCATAGTCATGAATAATGGATAAAATAACATAGCAATTGTATAAGAAAAAAAAATTGACTTGATTCTGTGTCCTAGCCAGAAAACGCTGCAGCTGCAACACCTCATATAGGACCTCATCCACACCTGCTATCTCTTAATTTAACATCTGTCAGCATCCTCCTGTTCCCTACTTCATACATTCTGATAAATTCATTGTCTTTCAGCATTTTGACTTGTTTTGAACATCAGATTTCCTTGGTAATCTTTTCTTTATCTTTTCCATTCTTTTTAATTGCGTCTCTTTATGTACATGGTAACACTGTTTATGAAGTACAACAAAAGGACTATATTGTTGAATCGAAAAATGTAAATTCTATCATTTACTCATTCTCATGTTGTTCCAAACCCATATGAATACTTAAGGAGAAACGTTCACGCTGCTCATTTTCATAAAAAAAAAAAAAGTGACTGTGAGGCTGCAAAAAGAATTTAAAAAGCTGTTGAATATACTATATAAGTCATATAAACCACTTCTATGATACATTTTGGAGCTCAACATCTATCATGTAATTTCATAGTATGAAAAAGAGCTGCATAAATATTATCTTTTTGTCATCTGTGGAAGGAAAAATGTTGGATGAGTTTGGAACATGAGGTTGATTAAATGATGACGGTTTTCATTTTGGGTTCTGATGTTGTTCTTCATACTCGGTGTGTTCATGCGTTCCTCTGTCTTTCTGCATGCATCATCACCTGTGTTGCGTGTGCTGCGTTGTGTGTTGCAGCTGTCCCTGTGCATGACGTTAAACGCTTGGCATGGAACAGTTCAGAACATGCCTCATGTCCAGAGTTAGAGCGCACTCATTCTGGCCCCTGTGCCTCAGCCCACGGGGCCGGTGGTATCACAGCGAGTGGGTCCGCAGCTCAGTGTAAGTGTGTGGGGTAGACCAGGACACACACACAGAGGATGTCAACAGTATATCAAATTCTTCATACTAATAGAATGTCACAGTGGGCAGTTGATGTTGTGTTAGTCAAGGTTGTGACTTGTTGGGTTGATTTTTAGTTGATTTGTAATGGAGAATGTGTTAATCCAAATGCATATTTCCACACACATTTACAAAGGCCTATTCACATTGAGCTCAACTTTCACCACAAACATTCAAATTGAAATGATTGCATTTCTACTGACCCCATCATGCAATGTGAGAAAATTCACGCTCTTTATAGTCACATTTTTTCATTTTCTCTGTGGGAAAAAAGGTGTGTTCAAGTCATGTCAGAATTACTGTAATTATGAAGTTCTTTTAAACATTTTAGCACCTCACCACTGTAATGTCAACACAGAAAATGGCAGCAGGTTTAGCAGTAAAATATAGTCAAGTAGTTCTTTCCTTAAAATTTCTGTTCATTATTAATATCTTAATCATGCATACAAAACTTTCAACCTCTGTAGCACCAGTGCTATGTGAAAAAAAAGTTAACGTACAGCCCTGTGCAAGACTAATAAAGGAAAGGCATACAATACAATTTATTGTAGCTAGGAGAGAGTTGGATAATAATGACTAATTTCCTGCTAAATAACTCAAGTTTATTAATAATGAATTTTACTGTTTTTATTATATTTTTGTTTATTGATTACTATAATTACACACATTCCTCTTGGCATTTATAGTGTCAGAAATGCATAATGAATGCCTCAGAGTAGAAAGTCCTATTTGTAAGCTAGTAATTGCAGTAAATACAGCATGGTGTGAACGCACCAAAACTCACCAACTAATAAGATAAAAGCTTTTGGGTCATGTGACCAGAACTGGCATCATCAGCACTTTTTATTTTTGTTCAGGTATATGTTCTGTTTCACAAACTGACAAATTTGTATCATGTCATTTTTTGGCACTTTTAATCTTGGTGTCAGTAGGCTTTAATATGACATTCTCACAGGTATCTGCTCTGTAAGCAGTGTATGTTATGCTTATTAACTTCGCTTTTCTTTTTTATCATTTCATTTCCTCTCCCTCCATCATCCCTCATCTTTCACACGTCCTGTTCGAGTAGCTCGTAAGCAGGAGATTATAAAGATCACGGAGCAGTTGATCGAGGCTGTCAACAATGGAGACTTTGAAGCATACACGTAAGTACAGCACACCTACACTTGCTTTAGCTTGTTTGTAATAAAGACACTAAGAAAATTGTAGGTCATTGTGTGAATATGTAAGGCTTTAAGAGGATTTTGTATTCAAATGAACAAACAGTCCTATAAAATGTTGGTCTGAACAAACTGAAGTCCCAGACTGACCCATAGTCTGTGAACAGATAGAGAGAATATTGTATATAGCCATGAAATGATGGAGATATCCAGTCATATGTTCACTCTGAAATTAAATTGTCATCACTTTTATTTATTTTTTATGCTATATGATTATCTTTTGTTATATGAACATTGTTTTCATATTCTTGTGTACCACAGAAGAATCTGTGACCCTGGTCTGACCTCTTTTGAGCCTGAAGCTCTGGGGAACCTGGTCGAGGGCATGGACTTCCACAAGTTCTACTTTGAGCACTGTGAGTCATGTTTAACTATGCGTATAGTTGTTTTACCTTACAGAAATATTCATCAAAGTTACACACTTTGACCATATGTATATCTGTATTCAGATGCAATCCATGTGTTTGACTTTTTCAGTGTTGAGTAAGAACAACAAGCCTGTGCACACCACTATCCTCAATCCTCATGTTCATCTCATCGGGGAGGATGCTGCCTGCATTGCGTATATCCGGCTGACACAGTACATCGACAGCCAGGGCCGCCCACGTAGCTGCCAGTCGGAGGAGACGCGCGTGTGGCACCGCCGTGATGCCAAGTGGCTTAACGTCCACTTCCACTGCTCAGGGGCTCCAGCCGCCCCCTTACAGTGAACCGCGCAGGACAGGTAAAAACACTCCATTCGCACGCCTACGTTTATCGCCTACGTCTACGCACGCCTGCATGTATGCCTGTTTCTACCTCAGAGTTTAAAAAATAAAATTAAAAGGTAACTGTAGAGGTAATGATTGCTGCTTTGTCTTAAAAGTGACTTCTGTTGTGTTATATCCTAAACTGGCGTTTGATACTTTTTAATCACGACTTCATTTTGTGACTTTATATATCATTTATATCAATTGCAACTTTATTTTTAAACTTCATTTTTTTGTGTACTTGTTTTTTGTTTTGTTTTTACTCTAAAGGAACAATTTATAGGTGTTCTTCTAGAATTCTAGAATTTCACTTATGGGTTGCGTGACGTAATTACGTAACGATTTCCCCATATAGATTTCGTAATGTAATCAATTTGATCACGTGCATTTGCTGCGTTGACAAACAGAAAGCTGATTGGTTTGAAAGTGACTTTTATGTGAGCTGGGCTTCATACATCACTTTTTTGCCTGCAAAATATTGCCGAAATTTCGGTAATGCGCCCAGCTAAGGGAGTAAAATTTGTTGCAAACACCAATTTGTGATGACTGTATGCTGTAAGACTGACGTTGCACATTTAAATTCACAGAAATGTTATTGTTGCGCTATTTTTTCCAGCTTACCTGGATTCTCAAGATAATGGGAATGTTTCTTCTTTGTGGCTGGACGGGCACGTGAAGGCCAGCTGGATGACAGCTCTTAAAGTTACAGACACACCAGTGAGGAACTCTGACAACATCCAGTTCAACTGTCAACACCACCTATCCTGTCCAATCTTTGACCAACGGGAGCTGGCCGCGGCTGTGGCCCCGCCCAAGGGACGGTGCATGTATCTGACGCCCACATGGGGGTGCTCTTTTGTCTTTTTCCCCACGGAACCATCTTCTTTTGCCCGTTAAAGATGTTCAGAAGGTGTTGTAAGTACTGATCTATGAATTCATAAATATACTGTATATTGTAAAAATCACTAGCTGAACCAGAAGCTACAATCAAGTTTGAAAAGCATTTATGTAGGTAAACCAAGGTGGGAGTTGGGAGGGTGGGGGGCTTCAACTTAAAGAAAAAATCACAAAATGGACTTGCGCCCAAAGAATGCTAAAGTTTACAGGTTTGTCATCAGTCCTTCTTGTATACTTTGCAAATTTTTGGACACAAAATCAATTATGGGAAGGGGTCGACTAATCCGAGAGCAAGGCAGTGAAAATGTTCATTAGTTCTTCATATCAAAAAAAGAACCAAAGTGTAGTTTTTAGTCTTTTTAAGGAGTGTTTCTGTTTGGTGTTGGCTTTTTATGTAACCCGGGTCTAAGAGAAGGTTTGTGCGGCCCAGGTTTTAGTAATCTCTTGTGTTAATGTGGAACTCTTCATTTTCATTTTTTCTTTTCTTGGACTGACATAACACAAGTATTTTGTGTTCAGTTTGAATTTTTAAGACTATTTTAGTTTTTAAGTTAATCTAAATAAACATGTAAAGTTATACAGAGATATTTAAAGGAGATATAAACTCTCACCATCCAGGTTTAGGGGAAGATGTGGTTCCTGACCGCGCTCGATATGTTTGTGTGGGTGCGTGTGTGCGATCGGAACTTGTATAAATTGTATCCCTCATTTAGATTTCATATAAGGAAAGCCCAAGTGAACAGCACACAACTGAACACCGAGCAGTAGATTCGCTCTTACTGTTTTGTTAGCGATGTAGACAAACCACTGCAAGGACGTACTGTGATAGTCAGACATGAACTTAACTCCAGTTTCCGAACTCAGTGACTAAGTCTGAGCTCAAAGGAGGACTAGTCATTTTTACAAACTACATCATGGTGAAAATAGCTTCAGTAGTCTGGTATGTTGTGATGAAGTCTCCTTTAAAACTCGCCGTCCTTTCTTACACCCACACAGCTGCATTGTAAAAGTACTCGGTTGTTTTAGTAACGTTGGACGTGTCTAACTCACCCTGTTCTCAGTGTTGTCGTAGTCGTGGTTCATGTCGGTGACGGGGGGTGAACATGCTCTGTAAATACATGTCGTTTAGTTCATCCGATCACAAGAAGCGTGTGGAGAAAATCCAAACACGTTGCCGTAGTTCTGTTGTTTAAAATCACGGTTTTAATGTTTGTACGATTACAAGTCACAGTGGTTCGTTACATTCACCACCAACTATATTACGCAGGTTTTATGGCACTGACTATTTAAACTCCGTTTTAATGTTACTTAGAAGTGAGGGTTTGATTGTCACGATTGATTCATCTCTTAAGTTCATCTGTAGTTGCACGAATGCTTTTCGTCACTGCTATGGTTTTGTCTTTAGATAGATTTTAGTGTAGTTTCGTTTGAGGCAATATATTACGTGTGGAAAAAACACCCCGTCTCCTTGGAACACATCAGTCTTTTGTATGGGTCTGTTAATACATGTAGTGTTGGCACACCCTCATCGTGTGCTGCTGGGCTTTGTGACATATCAGGACTATACCTCCGCACGTGTGTAAGTGTGCGCGCGTTTATCACCTTTACAACAATGGTAGTGATGCTGTCAGGTTATATGTGACGATGCTGTTTTCACGTCCGTTTTGTGTCTCGTGCTTGTTTCATACGTTTTTTTTTTTTATATCGCTGTTTTCTTTTTCCTTTGTTTGTGCTATGGGGAACTGCTGCCTTGCCTGGCCAAACTAGATTACACTTTTTATTATTTTAATTTTTACTTAAATACATCCTTTTACATGATTGACATCTTCAGCTTCATGAAAATGAAAAGATTGCTACGAGGAGTCACTAGCTGGTAGATTTAGATTTAGTGAAATAAATATCCAACCCCTGAAAGCTCGGTCTGAATCCTGGGCCAGACGGCGAGTATGAGTCTTCTGGCCCACCCGTCCAATGACAGGAGAAATCAAACACGCAGTTTAAATAAACCAGCAAATATGCATGTATACTTTTCTTGGTAAATATTTTTTTCCACTGTCTGTGTTTACTTAATAAAAAAAAAAGGGGGAAAAATCTCATAGTATTTGCATCTCGACATGAAAATCACTCCATTGGGAATTATAAGTGATGTACCATATAAAAAAATAAAAGTAGAAAATAGTAAAAAAAAAAAAATGATATATATATATATAAAACAAAAGCCTCTGCTTGGTATGCTCCCCTCATTCTAAGTAAATCTATTGCATTGTAATGGTATACTATTGGGCTTCGTATATACTCGGAGTTTAAACATGGATGCTGGATTTTTGCATGATCATACATTTAATAAAACCATGAAATGACAACTATCAAGTGTTTGTCTGAATGTTAGTAGGTCTTCTTCATCATAGCTTTGTTATTATTGAAACTTGATCTGGAAAGTATTTAATAAAAAGAGCATTTCTGCAACTGATTCTGGGTTTTCTTTGTGCAAATGTAAAATTCAACATGAAATCAGCATTTACTGTATGTGTTTGATGCATGTCACTGATCTTATTGTGAAAGATTAATCCGTGCACATCATTACAATGGAAAACGCAACCTCTTTTGTAATTTCATTCACATCTCATATCTCATAAGCTGAGATGCTGATTTAAAATGTTGTATGCATTAACATTCTCATGATTTTCAGCCATTTTTGACCTTTTTTTTTTTTTTTAAAGATGTTTTTTACTTATGTGGAATAGTACAACATTTGGTAAAGGTGTTGGCACTTGCTGTGTTAACAGAAAAAATCCACGGATCTGATTCAAAAGGTTAAATGGTCCTGAAAAAAAAAGAGTCATATTTGTACTCCTGGTCAAAAATGACTGCATTGGAAACAAATAGTAAATGAATTTCATCTAGTTGGAAACATATTGTACTGCGCCCAAACTAAATCTAAGCTCATAAAATCTAATTTTGTGAGATTGGAAAACAACGTGTTTAGATTGATAAAGTATGAATAAGAGTAAAGCATGTTTTAGAAAACATAGAATTGTTCTTAATACTTTAACTTCTTATAATACTTCATGTTTTTAATAATATGTAATGTTCTTAATCGCAATGCTGCTTTGTCCACGGAGGTTACGGGAAACAGCTGTAATTCTGCTGTTCCATAAGTGCCACCTAGTGTAAGAGAGTGGATTTACATTTACATTTAACTTGTGTGCAGTGTTTGTCTGGCCAAAAAATTGACCGAATTTGAATGCCCGGCTGTAAATTTTGACCGGTTGATGAAAAACAAGCTTAATCTGGAAGTTTAAACAATTTAGATCTAGTAGGCTATAAAATACATATAATCATTTATAAATCAATTATCATTTTGACAACCCTTTAAAGGCTAAAATGTGTTTACCATGTTATGAAACTTTTTTTATAACTTTATTTGAACATTTTGCAGATGTTATTAGATAAACTGTTGTCAGTCATGTTATCATTTAAAATTCGAACATCAGGTAATTGAATTAATTATTGTGTGGAGCGCACTCTAAATTATATCAGTGCAATTTAGATAAAACAGACGATTGTGCTGATCCACGTCGATAGATGGCAGTGCAGCGTAAAGCATGCTAAGAACAGCAACGTTAGCCGAAGAACTACTGAATGCACCTCAAATGCTGTAATGTAATGCTGGTTAATGTAAGAAAAGTTAGCAATACTATAGTTTAGAAACCGCATTAGTGTCTCACGGGGGCCCATTCCTTGTTCAGTGTTCTGGTTGTTGGCTTCAGTGTATGACCTGTGCTTAGTGATCCAATAACCATGAAATGTACTATACATGTCCATGTTTAATGTACTGTGAATTTGACCTGGGCTTTCGGTTTGAAACAGCCATAAAATCTCCTTCCCTTTGCTATTGTACATGCACATGTACCTTCACGGTAAAAGGAATGAAACGTAGAAGCTTATAGCTTTGATAGGTGTCCAACTGTAAAGATGTACTAGGAAATGGCCCCAAAGTAATAGTTTAATACAAGCAGCTTTTGCTGCATCAATAGCGCGTGTCTGCATTCAGATACATAAGCACTTTATAGAAGTGCACACCATTTATTTTCCTTCTCTCCCCTCCGGCACACAGTGTACTGTCTGTGGAGGCTCCCAGTGGACCTGAGCAAGTCTTATTTAAGGGCTTTGTTTCCTGCATTCGAGCGGCTGGGCCCCAAAGCTCTCAAATGGAGGCCGAGTCTCTTGTTTCTGTGCGGTGATTAATCAAGCTCTCTACTCTCTTCCTCTCAGCTGATAAAGTAGACTGCAGGAACACATAAGATACTCACCCCTCTAGTTCACCTCACTTTACACTTTGAAGTAGAGAAAAATGAGATGCCCATTCTGTGCCTTTATTTCTCAATATGTGTGTACTTAAACTGAACACGACATGACTTGGGATCACATTACTGTTGATTCATTTTTATGTAAAGGTTGGAATTTAAAAATTAATTAAACTAGAAAAGAGTTGTAATAATATTTCACAATATTATTATTTATTTTTTACTGTATTTTTGCTCAAATAAATGCAGCCTTGGTGAGCATAAGAGGCTTCTTTCAAAAAAATCAACAAAAAAAATCTTACCTACCCCAAAATTTTTAACAATAATGTCAAAAATTATCATTTTAATAAAGAAACATTTGCCAAGTTTATTAAATTAAAAAGGAAATCTGCTAAAAGTAGCCACATATTAACCTCAAATCTTCTTTATAGCTTCTTGGGCTGCACAATGTTTTTTGACGTCAAACAGAAATCACCTCAACAGCAACTGTTTTGAGAAAGGCAGCAAGATGGCATACATTTATGAGACACATATTTAAATACTTTTCTGCTTAGCAGAGTTAGACTTTTGAGAATAAAATATAAATAATCCTCTCATAGTCCCTTCCTTTCATGGGTATTTCCACAAAATGCTCCTAGAGGTTCTGTGCCATTCCCTCTCTTCCTAGAAGACTATATTTGCATTTCAAAACAGCCAGTTCACAGCTGATATCCAACCACTCTAGAAGTATTTTTAAAGCTGTCCAATCGGGTCGCTCCCATTTCCATATCCATGACTCCCATGAACGTCCACTACAAGTTCCCATAACCAGGTTGAGGGCTTCATGCAGACTGACAGCGTGATCGGCCCGTCTGTTCCATCAGAGCCTGTGCGGAGTATGGAGGGCGAGAGGGGTCAGTCCTCTTTTGGCTCCTGCCGCACACGGGCCCCGAGTTCTCCTGTGTGGAGCGGGGTTCTGCCATGGTTCTCTTTATGCAGGTTTTTATCAGCTCCAGCTGGCGTTGTGCAGTTCATCTCTGAGCCAAATGGGCAGAGGCTGACCCAGACGTTTCAACATCCTGAGTAACTCCACGTTCTGCTCGCGGTAATACTCTGACAGAAACACTCTCGACTGGAGAGAGGAAAAAATTCAATGTGAGTTACACATACATTTATGGAGGAACAATTATGACATTCAAAATTATGAGAAAAGTCAATGATGACATAAGTCAAAATTTAAAAAAATGAATGACAAAAAGTTATAATTATGAGATAAAAAGTCAAAATTATGATTTGATCATTTTTACTTCTCTCATATTTTGAACAATTGACCGTCATACTTCTGAGAAATTATAAGTTGATTATTAAAGACAAAATTATAAAAATAAAAAGTTAGACAAAAAGTTGTAATTCTGAGACAAGTAAAAAAAGTCATCATAATTTTGTCTTGTTATATCAAAATTATAACTTTATCAATAATTTTTTATTTGATCATTTTGACTCGTCATAATCAACTGATGTCAAATCTCAATTTCAACTTTTTCTCAGAAGTTTGACAGTCATTTGTTCAAAATATGAGATAAAAAAATATATAAGATCATAATTTTGACTTTTTATATAATTTTTATATCTCATGAACAAATGACATTGTAAAAATTCTGAGAAAAAGTTGAAATGATGAGAAATTGAAATAAAAAAAATTCAAGACAAAACGTTAAAATTATTTCATAATACCGTAATTTTCATAAAAACTATTTCATAATTTTAACTTGTCATAATTATAACTTTTATCTCATAATTTTGAGTAATAATTGAATCAAGTCAAATCCAGAGATAAAGTAAAAAAGAATAACATGTCATGACAAAAATGATTTTCATGTTCAATAATTATAACTTTTCATGTCAAAATTGACTTTCGTCACAATTGACCAAATGCTAACTTTTTATTTAGGATTTACATTTACTCATGTGGCAGATATGGGCTTCTATGCATACACAATGTACACAATGCACAACATACATTCAAATAACAAATATACTGATAGAATATTAATGATCAGCCAGGGCATGTTCAATAATTATAACTTTTCATGTCAAAATTGACTTTCGTCACAATTGACCAAATGCTAACTTTTTATTTAAGATTTACATTTACTCATGTGGCAGATATGGGCTTCTATGCATACACAATGTACACAATGCACAACATACATTCAAATAACAAATATACTGATTGAATATTAATGATCAGCCAGGGAAATTGTTTTAGCATCTACACACTAGACTGGACATAGAAGAAAACACAAGGGTGAAAATGATGTGAGCAAATGCTGCAACACACTGATCAGCACTCAGTGATTGAAATTAAGTTGTATTCGAAATCTGATTTGCTCTATTCCCACTTGATTTCAAACTGACTCTCAAAATAGATCTTATACATTCCGCTTTCTTGCAGCCAATTATAGAGAGGAAAACAGAACTAAATAAACTTCACTGGCTATAACTGAAACGTGATGGATATACTGTAACTGAACAAAAATAGACATCTTATCTTCATATCTGGAGCTCTGATGTAGAGAAGTGAGTTGTACCTCCAGGCTCATTTCTGGATACTTCCTTCCTTTGCTCTTTCCCAGACAGCGAGTACGTCCTGCCTCCAGTTTCTGACACCAGAAACCTTTACTCTCGTCAAACCTTTAAATAGAGAGCAGGAACTAGTTACATCTCCGATATTAAGACTTTTTTAAAAATCTGAATATGTTGTATCTAATCCAATGAAATGCTTTAGTTTTTTTTAGAAAATCACATACAATTTTAAGGACATATATTTTTTGTTAAAATGTGATAAAATAGAATCGAGGATTGAGACTATCAGTTCTGTAGCAAATCTTGTTGTAGTAAGTGCTCTTGGAATCTGGGCGTGCAATAATAATGAGAGCTCATACGTCAGCGCTTGTGTGTAGTTGTAGTACGGTGTGACTCCGAGGAACTTCTGAATGCCATCCATCACCTGAGCAGGACTGGAGCGCAGCTGCACACCATCCACGATCAGCAGCTGTTCACAGGATAAAACACACGTCACACACACTGATGCAGCTCAACACACCTGCTCAAGACTGTTATGGGTTGATTTTGAACGAGTGAAGTTTCACTTAGAGCGCTCTGAAGACTTTAGGAAGCTCAAACTTTGTGTGTGTGTGTGTGTGTGTGTGTGCACGCGCGCGTGCACACATATGTCTGAATATTCTAGATTATTTCTCAAAATAATGTAAAGTTGTGTAAACACATTGTTTACAGTAATACACTAATAAATGAACAGGGCCCTGGGGTCCACTAGGGGGCCTCAGCAAACTAACAAGGGGGCTTCATGATTACTTAAAGGGGTCATATGATGCTATTTTAAAGATTTTAGGTAGGCGTGGTTGACTCTTAACTTTTATATAGAATATCTCTTTGGATTTGAGACTTTAGTCTTTGCAACTTTACAGATCTTCTTTATGCACCAAGAGCTTGTAACACTCCAAAGAGAAAGGAAAACTTGAAATCGCATCATATGACCCCTTTAAATAACTTGAAATAAGACAAAACAAGTATCAAAACAAGCTAAAACAAAAGCCGAGCTTAGATCCAGAAGGACCAAAACCCCACATTTCCCAGAGTCGACAGCTAATAGCAAATCGTTTAACACTTTCAAAAGAGCAGTTTCTGTACTATACTGAGCTCTGAACCCAGACTGAAATTTGTCCAGTATATCACTATTCTTTAAGAAGGAGGAAAGCTGATGAAAAACAACCTTCTCCAATACCTTTAAAAGGAAAGGAAGTTTTGATATAGGCCGGTAATTGGCTAGGACCTGTGGATCAAGGGTAGGCTTTTTAAGTACAGGGTGTATCACTGCATGTTTAAAACAGGATGGAACATGACCATTATTAAGACTACTATTAATAATAAATAGTAGTGTAAGAAGTTACAGAAGTCGGCTATAGGTGTGTGTGTGTGTGTACACACCTGACTGGGCTGGTAGTGGTGTAACCAGCGCTCCAGATGGCTGCTGTAGGCTCCAGGCTGCAGGCAGCGGCGGTGCAGAGACAGCAGAGCTGCGGGGGACGACGGCCCTGCAGAGATCACCTCATGAAACGTGTGGTTTAGCGCCACAGGGTCCTGATGAGCCCTCTGATGCTACAGAGAGTGACAGAAGTGAAATTAAACAGTTGTAGTTTTGATTGGATGTGTTGCTATAGAGGAAGTCAATAATATCTGGAAAATGCTATCCATCAGCATTTCTCTGTCTCAATGGCAGTTTAAAATCTACTGTTTTCTCTACGGCCCTGTTTACACTAGTGCGTTTTTGTTTTAAAACGGCGTTTTAACATGAAAACGATCCTCGTCTACACTGGCATTTTCACTGCGTTTCAGAAACTATCTCCGTCTACACTACACAACCGAAAATGCATGTCACATGACCATTCGTGCAAGTACAACCATAGATATGTATAGGATGATGCCCGATTATTTAGATGGAGGACGCTTCTACGTGCTTTGAGCGGTCGAATGGGTAATCTACCTATACATATTTATGGGTACAACTATGAGCATGATGTTATTGTTTACACGGTTGTCAAGGATACGCAGAGCGAATGTGGGCAGCCAAGCCATCGTTTTCAAAAGTCTCCGTTTTGGTCCGTTTACACTGAAACGCATCCCCGTAGTTTTCAAACTAAAACGGGGTCTGCAGCATTTTCAAAAATCTCTTGTTTTCGAGGGTCGAAAATGCCGGAGTAGTATAAACGACAGGCGTAACCGTAGCAAAAGTTATGCGTTTTAAAACGAAAACGCACCAGTGTAAACAGGGCCTAAGTTCTTTTTTTTGTTTTGTTTTTTAATTTCCAATAGAAATAAAAGTCCATTTTACATCAGACCGTGTAGTTACGACATCTACCAGCATTGGTTAACAGATTCATGTGAACTAACCAGCTAAGCTTTACAAACGCACCTGGTACCAGGAATACGCGCGGTCAGCAGGGTTGATGAGTATAGAGATGATTTTGGCTCTTGGTAACAGGGTGGCTGCTCTCTTCGGGGCAACTTCAGTGTCAAAGTAGTTTGCGCTCTTCTCAAACAGGAAGTCTGTGCTTACGTTTGAGGGTACGGGGAAAAAATCCATGTACCTGAGACAAGACAGACAGAATTAACATAACACTTCTCAGGCAAAAGGCAAATCCAATATCAATAAAAGATTAAGAGAGGAATTCACTAAGAATTATTTTGTTTATTTTAATGCATTGCATCATGTTTGCATAATATTTGCTGAATGAAATTCAATACTTGTTTCTTGCTAAATTTGGAGTGCTGACTTCAAAAACCGTGCTTGTTTTGCTCTAGCATGTCACACTCTCTCATAAAATTTGAGGTGCATTTTGTAGCATTTTTGCTTTCAATAACCATTGTAAGGTGAAGATTTTCACATGTACACTATGAATTATTCTAAAGACATTATTTTATGCCTAATCCTGATTTCAAGGTTAGAATTATACCACTGACAGACGAACATGCAAATATGACCCAGATGTTTTCTGCTAAATCTCTGGGTGTTTTACTATGTCCAAATAGCAACACAAAAAAGTGACATAAATTTAAGCATTGATAATAATCATGCAATAGACACAATATAAATATAAAATTTATGCATTTAGCATGATCCCAAAAAAATTATGTCAGTGTGATGTGAGTGAGGCTTTACAAAAATTGGTATTTGATTTGGAAACAAAGAAAATTAGATATGGATGGGGTTTCCATGGTTACCAGTCAATGCCACGCTGGTAGTTTGGTCCGCTGAAGAACTGCACCTCCTCAAAGGTGACGGGGCTGAGGAAGCTGCTGGTAATGGCAGGATGAAGGCCAAGAAACGAGTGAAGCGCGGTGGTTCCTGCAAAAAGAGCATGACACCACTGCATCAAGTTGTTTTGATCAAATATTAATCACATTTCTAGGAAATATTCTGTGTTCTGTGACTTGTATGTGGAATCATAAAGTGTTCTACATCATAAAGCCTGGCTTATTATTAAATTGTATATTAGTCTCTAATGGTTTTAATGACTAACAAACAACATGGGTACACTCTTCTGTTACTGCAAACAACTTCACATACATACAGTATATAGTATGTTCAAAAGAGAATGCATATCTAACTTATAAAAAAAAAAAATAATAATAATATTCAGAGGTTTTGTTACCGGTCTTCTGAGGGCCAATCACTAGAAACTTGGGCAGTCTGTCACAGGTCTTCTCTTTGGACCAGATGTCTTTGTGTCTCTTGTCATGACACGGGTTCTGTTTATCAGGGAGAGTATTTGTAAGTATAATGTGAGCATAAATTAATATGAGACTAATATAAATCACCTGTAACAAGTTTTCCTGTTCATTACCTAAACATGAAAACATGCATTTTAATTTTGGATATGGGGGGAAAAAATGTGTTAAAAAAATTCTAAATTAATTTAAAACAAAACAAAACAAAACAAAACAAAACAAAGAAGCCTTAGCTAAATGAAAGTTATTTATTAAAAACAATTGTTGAGAATATTATTGAATAATAATTTTTTTAAATAAAAAAAGCCTATTTTTAGAACCATGTTGGTTGTAATGACATGCAAAATAATTTAAAATTGCATTTTAATATAATATTTAATATGCTTTATTATTGGAGTAAAATATGTACGATGTCTTTCTTTGGCAGCCTCTATGAGATTCACCCAGTTATAAGCATGAAAATGTAATTGCACAAACCTGCCACAAGGGGTCTCTCTCATCAGGGAAAATCTGGAAGTATTTCTGAGCGAGGCGGACGGGAGGCAGTGTCTGCAGGCGCAGGTGAGTCCAGCACTGCACAAACCTCACCAGTGACTCAAAGGTGTACAGGCCCAGCCGGTCGTTGCCATAGTTTGACAGGTGAGTCATGAATATACTAACCTACCCATGGGAGAGGACAGGGACAAGTAGGTCAAAAAGCCTACGTTTGTCATATTACACCATTGTTTTAGGTGTTGGCTGTATCTGGGCTAGTGTGTCGTTGCTGGTGTGACACTAACCGGATTGAGCAGCACTGTAAGAAACAGCTCTCCTCCACAAATGCTCTTGTCCAGCACCTGAGGGCCTCCTGGATAATCTTTGTAGAAGATGGTATGTGTGAAAAGCCCACAGGTTTGCCGGGGGAGAACCTGATACACAAAGCCAAACACAACTTACTAACCAAATCACACTTAACAGAAATGAGAGCAATCCTGGGAATTTTCTTATATTCAGAATATTTGATGGACAATTTTAAAGCTATTTTAGTAACTTTACAATAAGGCTTGATTTGTTAGAATTAGTTAATGCATTGGTATTGTGCACTAAAAAACCCATTTTTACAAAACTATTAATCTAGGTTGATGTTCATTTATAAATATTACTCATTGTTACTTCATGTTCATTCATAATACATTAATTGTTAACTTAACTTAAAATGCATCAGTATATACACTACTGGCCAAAAGTTTGGAATAATTTCCGCCATCGCCATTACCCTCCACTCAGCACTCACACACCTGGACAAAAAAGACTCATACGTCAGAATGCTGTTCATAGACTTCAATTCAGCATTCAACACAATCATCCCTCAACAGCTCATTCACAAACTGGTCCAGCTGGGGCTCAACACTTCGCTGTGCAACTGGCTGTTGGACTTTCTGACTGGAAGACCTCAGGCAGTTCGGGTCGGCAGCAACACATCCAGCACCATCACACTGAACACTGGGGCCCCCCAAGGATGTGTGCTGAGCCCCCTCCTCTTCACTCTGATGACCCACGACTGCACACCGTCACACAACTCCAACCTCTTCATTAAGTTTGCGGATGACACGACTGTAGTGGGTCTCATTAGCAACAGAGATGAGACAAACTACAGGAGCGAGGTGAGCCGCCTGGCCGGGTGGTGCAGTGACAACAATCTCTCTCTGAATGTGGAGAAAACGAAGGAGATTGTTGTTGACTTCAGGAGAGTGCGCACTCAACATGTTCCTCTGACCATCAACGGTGCGACTGTGGAGAG